TCACCTGAGACAAAGTCTTGAGTGACCTATTGCGATCGCCTTTTCTCCGTTGTCATCAGTCATTCCTTGTCCGTCACCCGTCTGTAAACAATTTACATTTTCAACTTCTTTTCTGAAACCCCCGCACCAATTTCAATGAAATTTTGTAGAAACCTTCCAAGGCCAAAGGTCAAACAAAATAATGAATTTTGAGGTCCCTGACCCCCAGAGGCTGATGGGCGGGGCCAAAATAGGGTCAAGTTAAAGGAAATTTCAAAACCCTTCTTCTCAGCACCCAGATATGGTACAAGCAAATACTCTTCATAGATAGAAGGGTCTTAAGGTCCATTACCGAAATTGTGAATTTCATGACCTGGAGGTCTCAAGTGTCCTCCTGGGGAGGGGGTAAACTTTACAATAGTTTATATAGCGACATCATATTTTGACCATTATTTGTTTAATTCGCATTGCAATGAATTCAAACCTGAGTTAGCATCATTAGTATTTGAATTTGGAAGTGCATTGTATGCACATATTGGCACAGCCTGAACCCCAGGTGCTGATGGCAGGGAAAGAAAGGGTCAAATTGATTGATAGATTAAATTTGATATTTGGTATCTTTTCACTGATAAACATTTGTCATAACATTCTGAAGTAAAGTTGGTCAGAATCAAACCAGAAGGTCAAGGTCAGATTTGGTATCTTTCCGCTGATGAATATATTGTTATGGCATGATGAAACAAATTGGCCATGAACTTAACTGACCAAAGGTCACTGGGTCAGAGGACTGAATGATATCTATTCATATGACCATCAAGGCCCATGGGCCTCTTGTTAAACTGAACCTGGAGTTCTTTTTCAGGATGAAGTAATTAGTTTGACAAATTTGAAATATGTTTTCAGAACTTGTTCGCGATGAAGTGAAGCCCACAGAAGAGGATAATGATAGTGCATCTGTCAGTGTTGACTTAGAGATTGGAAATGAGGAATTTGGAAATGAGGAATTAATTTCAAATGAATTGGATGATCTAATGTCTATAGCAGCGAATATTGACAAACAGTTTTTGAAACAAGAAAAAGAAAGAGAAGTGGAAAGTGGTCAGATGAAGAAGAACGGGAAATAAATGAATTATTTCAAAAATTCCAAACTGATAAAATCCGGTCCAAACACAAAGACTGTCTCCGAGCTATTGCGCTCGGTAAAAAAACAAAGGGGTCATATGGAAACGACCAAAGAATGTATTTCCGGTTTCAGAAGCAAATATTCTACTGACACATGTTTAATACATATGTTAGACTACATCAAATCTCAGTCTTCCAAAGGTTTGTTTACAGGTATGGTATTGCTCGACTTGCAAAAAGCCTTTGATACATTTGACCATAATATTTTATGTGATAAGCTCTCTGTTCTTGGAGTGGAATCGTAAAATTGGTTTAGATCCTTTCTCTCGGGACGAAACAAATTGTAGATATTAATGGAGTAACATCTGTGTCATGTAAGATAAAATGTGGGGTACCTCAGGGGAGTTTTATTAGGTCCTCTTCTGTACTTGATATATGTCAATGATATGCAAGTCTGCATTGATTCTAACTGCATGTTGATGTTGTCTGCAGACGATTCTGCTATACTTTTTCCCCATCTAAACCCAGCAGTAATATCACAAAAAATGTCTTTGGTGTTAGAGTCCTGTCAAGAATGGTTAGTGGACAACAAGCTTTCTCTACATTTAGGTAAAACCGAAAGTATTATTTTTGGCCCTAAAAGAAAATTGGATAAAGCAACAAATATTAATTTTAAAATATCTTGCAATAATCATGACATTGAAGTTATGAAGTGTATAAAATATCTTGGTATAGACGTTAACGATTTGTTAGCAGGTGAAGAAATTGTAGATTCAATTGTTAAAAAATTAAATCAACGACTAAAATTTCTCTACAGAAACGAGCAATGTCTATCGTATAGGTCGAGAAAAACTCTTTGCTCGGCATTGATTCTTTGTCATTTCGACTATGCCAGTGCTGGTTGGTATGAAGGTTTGTCAAAAAAACTAAAATATAAATTACAGGTAACACAAAACAAAGTAATAAGAATTATTTTGAATGTTCAAAATAGGCAGAGTATAAGTGATTTTTTGCGTACAAACATGTTAGACATTAATTATAGGGTTAGTCAAATCAGAATTAATCATATGTTTAACGCTTTCCGTGAAAAGGCTCCAAACTATATGTATATCTCCTTTAACAAGAATCCATGTCTACAAAATACTCGATCCTCGGCATATAATTCCAGTCTCCCATCAGTACAAGGTAAAGAATCTACAACATTCTACTTTATAGGCGCAAAAGAATGGAATTCTCTTCCAGATTATATTAAAAGTATACCAAACAAACTTAAGATCAAAATCCACGTGAAACGTCACTTTCAAAACAAAATGCAAGAGAAACATGATAGCTATTATGTATATTATTGATGTAAATACATTTGTAAATCCATTTTAAGGACCCCAATGGAAAATAAGCGTTTCAATGCTTTTTGGGAAATGCTAGGATAGATGTACTTTTGTCTTTACTTATAAATATCACTAGCTGATACGTTAAAGATGTAGCAAACAACTTATTCATGATTATGTATAACATGTTATATGTGCCATATATTCATATGTTTTTTATACAAATCTGTACATCTTTATCCTGAATAAATTTATTATTTATTATTTTATTATTATTACAGCTATGAGTTCTAAACTAATATACTGCATGGCACAATACTGCAGACCAAACACACAATCTCGTGTACAAGGTACATGAAATACAGTGCAATCTGTGTTCATGCATTGTCAGCTTTGTCGTATATGGTTTACATATCAGTAATGCACTGAGAGAATGACTGTGATGCTGTTGATGTTTAATACTCATTTAATTGAACTATGCATGCAGAAACATGGTTTTGTAAGCGCGCGATAAATGTGCACAATGTGTTATCAGTCCACGGTTGACGTGTTGCTACGTGTTGCTACAAAAGGTGTTTAAATTTGAATAGATCTAGACTTGCCCTACTTTGATTGTGTGATAAACACACAGCCCAAGAATATAACATCAAATGTGATGTATGTTAAGCCCGCACTATGTTTGTGTAAGTTGTACTTCAGCTGAAAAGTAGAACGCGTTACCTGCATTATGTCGTTAAAGCGAAATATAGCCAAATGTATATTTGTCTGCAGCTGCAAATGACTGACAATAACACTTTCATGGTAAATCGTTAAGAAATATATATTTTACGACAGAGGTTGGCAAAGGGTAGCACAATTATTGATATAGGATCCAAATTGGTATAAGTCATTGCATACTTCCTGGGCTTCAAGTATGCCCATATACATGAGACACAATGAAAATGATGAGGTCTAAAAATATTTATCCCGCGTAGGACCTCTCACAAAAATTCCTCTTAAATCTTGTTCTATGATTATCAAACTGGCAAAAAAAAAATGTCCCCCTAAGTGAATTTTCAGTCATATGAATATCTAAAAATAACATATTTTCGAAAAAAGCAATGATTTTGTATTGTTTGTGACTTTTTGCTTTCAAACCGATTTCATGTAAAAACAATTAATGATTATTAATGTCCGCCTAAATGATGTATTTACATGGTGTCCCCCTAACGTGACTTTCACGAGAATATAATATAATATAATATAATATATATAACATTATACAAAACGTTCAAGATAACATTAGTCAATATGATATACAGAGGATATTATAGAAGTTTCCAGAGTCTTATAACTTTAAACTTATAGCAATCTCCTAGTTTTATAATACTACTCTCATGTAGTGTTATATCAGAGGATATTATAGAAGTTTCCAGAGTCTTGTAACTTTAAACTTACAGCAATCTCCTAGTTTTATAATACTACTCTCATGTAGTGTTATATCAGAGGATATGTGGCATATGGTTACACTTATTACCGTTTGAAAAATGTGACATTTCTATAATAATAAAATTATATAATAAAGTGACACCTGTATAATATATACTCGTGTTGTACATTATGTATTTATACTGATGAGGAAAGTCTTGGTCTTGTTGTACATATTTTCTGTAAAGTTGTTCTTTATTCGCCTTTATTCGTCGGCATTTTCATACTTACGGGATCGAATAATATGGTAGTAACGTTGCGGCAAACGACTCGAATAATGTAAAGATTCGTTTTCCTAAAGACTGCGAGTCCGATTAATGTCCATTTTATAAAGCATGGATAAATTCACATGATGTTGAAAATATGTCATTATGCCAAAGTATCACCACATAGAAAAGGACTGTATGGCTAAATAACGATAACGCTTCAGACAAAAATATATAGTAAGATTTGAAATATAACCCAAAATGAAAAAAAAACATATATTAGAGACAAATTATCATTTTAAAGATAAAATCGGGTAAATTATCCACATTTTAATTTTTTAATCGGATGCTGATTGGTCAACATGTGATCACGTGTTACATGGACTAAATAGGTTTTCAGCATATACTTACCTATTGACGTTTTAACTGATTTCGTTAATCGCGAAAATTCAATCCGTTAAATAACAAGACTTGGCTATCCTTTTCAACCAAAATCGCTTTAACAGCAAATCGTGAAAATTACTAGCTGCACGGTAAGTGCATGTTGAATGTCAGAGAAGAATCAAAGCAATGGATTTAAAGTCACTTAAAAATACATATACAGTAATTATTACGACCTTTTAAAACTAAAAGTTTTATTTATCTACAACAATTGCAAAGAAATCTGGAAGGCAGTCACCATTGTACATTATATTAAGCCCTACTGTGGCGTATGTAGTAATATGATACATGATCATGCAACTATCAAGCTTTACCATGGATAATACAGAATAAAAGGATGACATTCCTGATATGGGTGATAACACTCTCCTAGTTATACGATACTCATCCTATTTCGTAGTTAAATCAGAGGATATTTTACATATGAAAGGTCTTAATTCATCGTTATACCAGTTAATATATGAATAATGTGATATTTCTATAGTAGTAAAATTATATAGTAGAGAGACATCTGTATTATATCATTCAACCTATTGTGATGCTGACTGTTCTGCTCTCAATGTACATATTTCCGGTATAGTTGTTCTTCGCCTCGCAGACATAATCCCCAGATTGGTCAATCCTGATGTTAGTCAGCTGTAACAATGCTGCGGTACTGATTTGTCTTCCCTTAACACGCCATATATAGGTAGGGGGAGGGTTACCCTCGGCAGCACAGTTCAAGGTCAGTGAGGTGCCTTTGAAATGGACGGCTGGGTTGGTAGGTGGTGTAATGATAGGTTGTCTGACTTTGTCTGATGAAAACAACACAAATATCGTCTTTTTTAACTTAGGCTTCCTCATAAACAACATGATAACGATATATCAATCAGGTGCTTCACAGCAATGATACTTTGGTATTCTGTCTTAAATACACAATTATATTACTTTTGTCATCATGATTAAGGAAATGATAGAATTGAAAGATAAACAAACAATATCATGGAACAACAAAAATACAATTGACGAAATAACCAAAGTAAAGAAACATCACTAATGAAATGGAGCATAATAAAAAATGGAACGGAACGCAATTTGATAAAATATCAAAGAAAATTGTCTAACGATAAATACAATAAACTACAAATAATAAGAACATAGCGGCATGATGACAATGAAAGGAATAGATATTCAAATAACATTAATGATTAACAGTAAAATTATAAAACAACTTAAGTACCCTTAAGATGGACTTACAGTACAGGTTGATGGGATCAGTTTGTTTATAGTAGGTAGTGTCTGTAGGATTGGTGATGGTTTCCTGTTGTAGGGTACACCTGACGATGACACCGTTGTCACTGTTGGTCATCGGTAAAGAGATGACACTACTGCCGGTGAAGGTACAGTCGGTACTGGCGGACGTCTGTGTGGTCGAGTCTACAGTGGTACCAACGGAGTCTGATATACCATTGTACTTGGTCCATACAAATGTCCCAGCAGGTCGACCAACATTACTGGTACAGGTAAACTGGACCGTTTGTCCCTCAGCAATGTTAGACGCTGGAACCATTTCTACTTCACCGAAGGACGTAACTTTAGGTGTCGCTGTGAATAAACTGTTGATGTATTAACCTAGCTCCTCTTACTGCAATAGTTTTTTTTCTGTCAGTGTTGTTTGTGCATCATCATCATCTTTTGTCTATAAAATTACTAAAGAGGATTATCTATAAATATCTACAGTGGATTGGACCGTGTATGTTTAACAACTTTTAAATGTATTTTCTACATATCATAAGTTTTGTTGATCAATCAAATTCATTTTAAATAACTCTAAAGCGCTGTCGACTGCCTATCGAATGCCTCCAACATGATACTGAAAAAACGGAGGGCTAGTGATGAAGAAGGGCAGACACCTTACCAACTCCGTCAGACACCTTAACAACTCCGTCAGACACCTTAACAACACAGCCAGACACCTTAACAACACAGTCAGACACCTTAACAACTCAGTCAGACACCTTAACAACACAGTCATAAACCTTAACAACTGAGCCAGACGCCTTAACAACACAGTCAGACACCTTAACAACTCCGTCAGACACCTTAACAACACAGTCAGACACCTTAACAACACCGTCAGACACCTTAACAACACAGTCAGACACCTTAACAACTCAGTCAGACACATTAACAACACAATCAGATACCTTAACAACTCAGCCAGACGCCTGAACAACACAGTCAGACACCTTAACCACACTGTCAGATACCTTAACAACTCATTCAGACACCTTAACAACACCGTTAGACACCTAAACAACTCCGTCAGACACCTTAACAACACAATCGGACACCTTAACAACACAATCAGACACCTTAACAACACAATCAGACACCTTAACAACACAGTCAGACACCTTAACAACACCATCAGACACCTTAACAACACAGTCAGACACCTTAACAACTCAGTCAGACACTTTAACTCCGTCAGACACCTTAACAACACAATCAGACACCTTAACAACTCAGCCAGACGCCTGAACAACACAGTCAGACACCTTAACCACACTGTCAGATACCTTAACAACTCATTCAGACACCTTAACAACACCGTTAGACACCTTAACAACTCCGTCAGACACCTTAACAACACAATCAGACACCTTAACAACACAATCAGACACCTTAACAACACAGTCAGACACCTTAACAACACAGTAAGACACCTTAACAACTCAGCCAGACGCCTCAACAAGTCAGTCAGACACCTTAACAACACAGTCATAAACCTTAACAACTCAGCCAGACGCCTTAACAACTATGCCATCAAAACAATGGTCGACCATGGAGTCTTCTGGTTCATAAACACGTCACCATCGCCCCAGTTATGTATGGTTTCTCCCTTTGATACAAATGTCAACTTGGACACAGTAAAAAGTTTTTTAATGAATGAAACTCTATCAAACAGGGTTTTTCGTCCTTCTGTAACTCAACGATATCATGACTTGAATTGAAAACCTGAGAAAATCTAAAGTCTACATTTCGACAGTAATATCAAAAATGCATACGGAGGGTGAGAGGGGAGAACACTTTCAATAAAAGCCATATAAATTGCTTTAATATTTACACAGGGTTGTTTACTTTGATATAATCTTCGGGAGCAGGAATAAATATATCGATGTTTTCTAGAAGCTAAATAGGCTTCACGTGATTCATGAAAATCAATCACAAAATTGCCAAGAGAAATGTTACCATGTCATAAAACACAAATATATGCGACTTTCTATTTTATCGATAAATAATGTTTTACCTTTGACTGTAAGACTGGTTATACTGGTTGGATCAACTTGTCCAATATTATTTAGTCCAAAAGCAGCACATTGGTATTTCCTCTCATCATCACAAACAACACTTGTAAACTTTATCTTAGCTGTTAGTGATGAACCTGTTGGATTTGTTAGCACTACTCGTCCAAACACAGACGGGTTAGTTAAATTGGCTAATACTGCTTCATTCTGATTTGTTCCTGGTGGATAAAACAATGCTAATTGTTGATATGTTCCAGAATCTTTTGATATCTCCCTTTTCCAAACTATTGTAAACACTGTATCATCATCAGATAGATCATATGTACATACAAGTTCCACTTCATTGTTTCCTAAAAGTCCCACGGGGTTTGTTGTCGTTGATATGGTAATATCACCATATACCCCTGAAATAAATGAGTAGTTGATAGGTTATAGAACAAGTTATTTTCTAAATGTGCCGCAAATGAACACTGACATACCTTTATTTCACGAATATTGTACAGTTCGGGCATTTGTACCTTTCAAATATTCTGTACAGGTTAGAAATTCTGTAACATTAAATCATTCTGTACAGGTAAGTCATTCTGCTACGTTAAATCAGTCTGTACAGGTAAGACATGATGTAATATTAAATAATTATCAACAGGTAAGACATTATGTAACGTTAAGTCATTCTGTACAGGTAAGACATTTTTTTTGCCGATAAATCATTACGTACAGCTAAGACATGTAACATTAAATCAGTCTGTACAGGTAAGACATTATGTAAGGTTAAATCAGTCTGTACAGGTAAGACATTATGTAACGTTAAATCAGTCTGTACAGGTAAGACATTATGTGATATTAAATCATTATCTACAGGTAAGACATTATGTAACATTAAATCAGTCTGTACAGGTAAGACATTATGTAACGTTAAATCAGTCTGTACAGGTAAGACATTGTGTAACGTTAAATCAGTCTGTACAGGTAAGACATTAACGTTAAATGTCTGTACACATTGTTAAATGTCTGTACAGGTAAGACATAATGTAACGTTAAATTAGTCTGTACAGGTAAGACATTATGTAACGTTAAATTAGTCTGTACAGGTAAGACATTACGTAACGTTAAATCAGTCTGTACAGGTAAGACATTATGTAACGTTAAATCAGTCTGTACAGGTAAGACATTATGTAACGTTAAATCAGTCTATACGTTAAATCAGTCTGTACAGGTAAGACATTATGTAACGTTAAATTAGTCTGTACAGGTGAGACATTATGTAACGTTAAATCAGTCTGTACAGGTGAGACATTATGTAACGTTAAATCAGTCTGTACAGGTGAGACATTATGTAACGTTAAATCAGTCTGTACAGGTGAGACATTATGTAACGTTAAATCAGTCTGTACAGGTAAGACATTATGTAACATTAAATCAGTCTGTACAGGTAAGACATTATGTAACGTTAAATCAGTCTGTACAGGTAAGACATTATGTAACGTTAAATCAGTCTGTACAGGTAAGACATTATGTAACATTAAATCTGTCTGTACAGGTAAGACATTATGTAACGTTAAATCAGTCTGTACAGGTTAGACATTATGTACATTAAATCAGTCTGTGTAACGTTAAAAATCAGTCTGTACAGGTACAGAAGACATTATGTAACGTTAAATCAGTCTGTACAGGTAAGACATTATGTAACGTTAAATCAGTCTGTACAGGTAAGACATAAGACATTATGTAACATTAAATCTGTCTGTACAGGTAAGACATTATGTAACGTTAAATCAGTCTGTACAGGTAAGACATTTTGTAACGTAACGTTAAATCAGTCTGTACAGGTAAGACATTATGTAACGTTAAATCAGTCTGTACAGGTAAGACATTATGTAACGTTAAATCAGTCTGTACAGGTAAGACATTGTGTAACGTTAAATCAGTCTGTACAGGTAAGACATTATGTAACGTTAAATCAGTCTGTACAGGTAAGACATTATGTAACGTTAAATCAGTCTGTACAGGTAAGACATTATGTAATGTTAAATCAGTCTGTACAGGTAAGACATTATGTAACGTTAAATCAGTCTGTACAGGTAAGACATTATGTAACGTTAAATCAGTCTGTACAGGTAAGACATTATGTAACGTTAAATCAGTCTGTACAGGTAAGACATTATGTAACGTTAAATCAGTCTGTACAGGTAAGACATTATGTAACGTTAAATCAGTCTGTACAGGTAAGACATTGTGTAACGTTAAATCAGTCTGTACAGGTAAGACATTATGTAACGTTAAATCAGTCTGTACAGGTAAGACATTATGTGATATTAAATCATTATCTACAGGTAAGACATTATGTAACGTTAAATCAGTCTGTACAGGTAAGACATTATGTAACGTTAAATCAGTCTGTACAGGTAAGACATTATGTAACGTTAAATCAGTCTGTACAGGTAAGACATTATGTGAATTAAATCATTAAATAAGACATTATGTAACTTAAATCAGTCTGTACAGGTAAGACATTATGTAACGTTAAATCAGTCTGTACAGGTAAGACATTATGTAACGTTAAATCAGTCTGTACAGGTAAGACATTATGTAACGTTAAATCAGTCTGTACAGGTAAGACATTATGTAACGTTAAATCAGTCTGTACAGGTAAGACATTATGTAACGTTAAATCAGTCTGTACAGGTAAGACATTATGTAACGTTAAATCAGTCTGTACAGGTAAGACATTATGTAACGTTAAATCAGTCTGTACAGGTAAGACATTATGTAACGTTAAATCAGTCTGTACAGGTAAGACATTATGTAACGTTAAATCAGTCTGTACAGGTAAGACATTATGTAACGTTAAATCAGTCTGTACAGATAAGACATTATGTAACGTTAAATCAGTCTGTACAGGTAAGACATTATGTAACGTTAAATCAGTCTGTACAGGTAAGACATTATGTAACGTTAAATCAGTCTGTACAGGTAAGACATTATGTAACGTTAAATCAGTCTGTACAGGTAAGACATTATGTAACGTTAAATCAGTCTGTACAGGTAAGACATTATGTAACGTTAAATCAGTCTGTACAGGTAAGACATTATGTAACGTTAAATCAGTCTGTACAGGTAAGACATTATGTAACGTTAAATCAGTCTGTACAGGTTAGACATTATGTAACGTTAAATCAGTCTGTACAGGTAAGACATTATGTGATATTAAATCATTATCTACAGGTAAGACATTATGTAACGTTAAATCAGTCTGTACAGGTAAGACATTATGTAACGTTAAATCAGTCTGTACAGGTAAGACATTATGTAACGTTAAATCAGTCTGTACAGGTAAGACATTATGTAACGTTAAATCAGTCTGTACAGGTAAGACATTATGTAACGTTAAATCAGTCTGTACAGGTAAGACATTATGTAACGTTAAATCAGTCTGTACAGGTAAGACATTATGTAACGTTAAATCAGTCTATACAGGTAAGACATTATGTAACGTTAAATCAGTCTGTACAGGTGAGACATTATGTAACGTTAAATCAGTCTGTACAGGTGAGACATTATGTAACGTTAAATCAGTCTGTACAGGTAAGACATTATGTAACGTTAAATCAGTCTGTACAGGTAAGACATTATGTAACGTTAAATCAGTCTGTACAGGTAAGACATTATGTAACGTTAAATCAGTCTGTACAGGTGAGACATTATGTAACGTTAAATCAGTCTGTACAGGTGAGACATTATGTAACGTTAAATCAGTCTGTACAGGTAAGACATTGTGTAACGTTAAATCAGTCTATACAGGTAAGACATTTTGTAACGTTAAATCAGTCTGTACAGGTCTGTACAGGTAAGACATTGTGTAACGTTAAATCAGTCTATACAGGTAAGACATTATGTAACGTTAAATCAGTCTGTACAGGTAAGACATAATGTAACGTTAAATTAGTCTGTACAGGTAAGACATTATGTAACGTTAAATTAGTCTGTACAGGTAAGACATTATGTAACGTTAAATCAGTCTGTACAGGTGAGACATTATGTAACGTTAAGACATTATGTAACGTTAAATCAGTCTGTACAGGTAAGACATTGTGTAACGTGAAATCAGTCTGTACAGGTAAGACATTATGTAACGTTAAATGAGTCTGTACAGGTAAGACATAATGTAACGTTAAATCAGTCTGTACAGGTAAGACATTATGTAACGTTAAATCAGTCTGTACAGGTAAGACACTATGTAACGTTAAATCAGTCTGTACAGGTAAGACATTATGTAACGTTAAATCAGTCTGTACAGGTAAGACATTGTGTAACGTTAAATCAGTCTGTACAGGTAAGACATTATGTAACGTGAAATCAGTCTGTACAGGTAAGACATTATGTAACGTTAAATCAGTCTGTACAGGTAAGACATTGTGTAACGTGAAATCAGTCTGTACAGGTAAGACATCCTTTGCCGATAAATCATTATGTACTGGTTAGACATTCTGTACCGTTAAATCATTCGGTACAAGTAGAACATTTTGTACATTAAGGTGTTGGTCGATATAGATATATAAAATAGTCATCCATACAGGATCACATCGATTGGAAAATAAAAATGTGATACCTAGTTTAATTATCATACTGTGTAAATCATACGTGTTCATGGAGTTTTATCTTCGTTTTCATCGTGGATACTTATAATATATCCACGACTGGCGACGGATTTCGACATAATGGTTTCTTATTGCTTTTTCTGAACAAGTACTTGTTGGATCTGTATCTTTATTTTCAAGACTGATCCTAGAAGGCTACATGACCCAAAGTAACTTTACCATTTCATTTTGTGAGGTTATACTGGAGAGATCTGTCTCAAATCACATAAATAGGGGTCCCTTCGCCCCTAATTAGGCATATCTTTATTTTCAAGACTGATCCTAGAAGGCTACATGACCCAAAGAAACTTTACCATTTCATTTTCTGATGTTATACTGGAGAGATCTGTCTCAAATCACATACGTAGGGGACCCTTTGCCTCTAACTATGCATAGCTTTATTTTCCACACTGGTTCGAAAAGGCAACATGGCCAAAAATTACTTTACCATTTCATTTTGTGAGGTTATACTGGAGAGATCTGTCTCAAATTTCATTTGTACGGACTCATTGGCCCCTAGGTGTAAATTATCGTAACCAGACATGTCGTGTTAAACATTATAAATGGTATATTTACACTGTACAGTTTTACGATTCGGCTACTGACACCGATATCGTGTTTATTTGATCGAATGGCATGTATTCCTTACAATGAAATATGAACACGAATGGGGAAATATATTTGGTTATTACTCACAAAACCAGCTTGTGTGATGATTTTACTTCATTATTAAGAATGATCTCGAGATCATTTAGAGAATGCTATAT